ATATACACGGAGGAAAACACGACGGGGAGAACAGCAAAACACCCAAAACAAGACATACAAAACGTGACATAGCACAATAATCGTAACAGAACCCCCCCCCTCAAGGGACGAATTCCAGACGTCCCTAAAACACCAAACAGTCCAATAAACGTCCAAAAAAAAACAAAAAAAACAATGTCCAGCAGGGTGGTTGGAGGGGGACCGGAGGAGGGACACAAAACTAGGGCCACCAGGACAAAGGGTTGGCAGGACCCCCGGCAGGAGAGTAGTCGGCGGGACCTCCAACGAGACAGGACAAGGAGCTGGCAGGACCCCCGGCAGGAGAGTAGACGGCGGGACCTCCAACGGGACTACATACGATTGGTAGGACCCCCGACAGAGGAGTAGTCGACGGGGCCTCAACGGGACAGGACATGGAGTTGGCAGGACCCCCAGCGGAACCTCCAACGGACCAGGACATTGGGTAGGGACTTGAGACGTGACTCGAGAGGGGACTTGAGAAGAGACTCGAGAGGGGAACCAAGGGGGAACTCGAGAGGGGACTTGAGAGGAGACTCGAGAGGAGACTCGAGAGGGGACTAGAGGAGAGACTAGAGGATGAACTAGAGGAGGGACTAGAAGAGGAACTAGAGAAGGGAACTCGAGAGGGGACTCGAGGAGGGACTAGAGGAGGGACTAGAGGAGGGAATAAAGGAGGGACTAGAGGAGGGAACTCGAGAGGGAACTGGAGAGGGGGACTAGAGAGGGGACTCGAGGAGGGACTAGAGAGGGGACTAGAGGAGGGACTAGAGGAGGGACTAAAGGAGGGACTAGAGGATGGACTAAAGGAGGGACTAGAGGAGGGAACTCGAGAGGGAACTCGAGAGGGAACTGGAGAGGGGACTCGAGAGGGAACTGGAGAGGGGACTCGAGAGGGGACTGGAGAGGGAACTCGAGAAGTGACTAGAGGAGGGACTAGAGATGGAACTTGAGAGGTGACTCGAGAAGGGACTAGAGATGGAACTCGAGAGGTGACTCGAGAGGGGACTTGAGAGGGGAACTAGAGAGGGGACTAGAGGAGGGACTAGAGGAGGGACTAAAGGAGGGACTAGAGGAGGGAACTTGAGAGGGAACTGGAGAGGGGACTCGAGAGGGAACTGGAGAGGGGACTTGAGAAGAAACTGGAGAGGGGACTCGAGAGGAGACTTGAGATGGGACTGTGGCAGCTGGGGCCAGAGATGGGTCTGGAACCATGGCCGCTGGGGCCAGAACTGGGTCTGGAACCATGGCTGCTGGGGCTGCTAGCCTGGCCTTGCGACGACTCCTCTTAGCAGCGCCTGAATACTCCGTGGACCTCCATAAGCCAGACGAGTTCCGGAATACAACTCCTGGACAGGAGCAGGAACTGGGGCAGAAGCACGGGTTGACTTCAGGCGGAACCCACCAAGGCGTATGGTGCCAGGTTGGGAATTGGGAGACATGGAGCTAGCATGCCTGGGGCTAGCAGGCCGGGAATCAGGTTTGACCTCAAAGCTGCCAAAAAAGTCCTCCACCCACTCGGGTAGCAACTCCCTCAACCAGGGCCTTGAGGTTACCTCCTGGCGTGCCGCAGAAAAAACGGACTGCCTCTCTTCACTACTGGAGGCATATTTAAAGTCATTCCTCAAACATGTCAAATTGTACACTATAAAAAAGGATTTTGGAGGGTAGTATATATTATCCAAGCAAATCATTTAAATTGTACTCAAGGTATATAAGTGAGCATTGTTAGTATATTTGAATGGGTAAATTATACCTACACTACCTAATTTCTGACAGTACCAACTGAAACACAAACAATCTGGGTAAAATCTACTTGAAGACATTAGGCCCACACTGCCCCTTTGCGCATGCGTCTGCGGTGATTCTTGGCTGCAGGCCAGAGGAACGGTTCTCTTTCGCGCCTCCCTCCTCCTGGTGTGTGGAAATGTTGGAAGGTAAGATATTACTGTCTATCATGTCCTACATATAAATGTTCACGTTTTTTGAGGTTCATCACAAGACTTGTTGTCAGCTTGCTTCACTATTAGACAAGGAATGTAAGTGTGTTCTCATCTATTATCATATATTACTCACTGGAAGTCGGTCACTGATGCTAGATAGCTGTAGCTAACATAGGAGCTAAGAGTAAAGCACTATGATGTTTAGCTAGGGCTGGGCGATTTGGCCTAAAAATAAAATCGCGATTTTTTTTCTAACTAATGGACAATTTTCGATTTAAACCTCGATTTTTTTCTGTTTTTTTCTAAACAAACCAGACCAAGGCTCTTTTAAGTGAACGACGGGAGCCGGCTCTCGCCCGCGAACGAGCCGTTTTTAGGTTTTTTTTGCGGAGGGATCTAGATCGGCATGAAAGCACATTATGCAATGTGCACATCATCCCGCTTATTACACATGGCCACATTCTCAACAAAGTAACGACATGACTCCCAATATTAATTGAAATGCTTTTATGGATTTAGAAAATGATTTTATTGACTTAAAAAATTGTTTTATGTATTGATTTAAATTGACAAGCATCCGCTAAGAAAAGTAGTCCGTTGTTACTGTTTGAACTAACGTAGCAACGGCAGGAACTGCTTCGATAGTGTTTTTGAGGAGCTTTTTGATTACAGATTTGAAAACATCGTTGCTTACTTTAAAAGTAGCACACTTCATGATGTCAGACCTTGGGAAGTATCTAGATATCCCTGCCCTAATGCCAAAGTAACTGCCAACTGAATATGTGTCGCCGTTTGATGTCTATGTCTGGACCGCTGCGTAAAAAGGAGGGTTTCTGCCCCATTACTTCTCTTCTTACTTCTATAAGAATAAAACACGGAGGACGGAGATCTCTTTTCCTCCCCTCTACAGACCGCCCAGCAGCTGATCTCAGAGCACGCTCCCCTCTCCTGCAGGGGGGCGTGGTCAGCTGCAGCTCACAGAATCAGCCCCTGCAAAAACAGCGCTGGAAAAAAGCAAATGGAGCGAAATGAGGCATGGCTAAAATGCAAGATATTTTTGGTATTTTGAAAAAAATAAAATATGTATATACTTTATATAGGTCGATACAGTAGCCCCTTTTTTAATAGTTTGTATAGGTGTTGCTATCTGTTTTGTGTAGCGTGGTTCTACAAGCAAGTCAATGCATTCATTGGGTGGTATCAGAGATTTACACGGGTCTGTAAATGCAATGAAAACAATTGGCCACAGCAAATCATTTATATTAAACTTTATTTACTCTTGAATACTTCAGTACAAAGGATGTATTGAATAATTTAAGTGATATATGTGTATACAGAGCTGCAGATCGGGTAGTCACAGGCAATGTGGCTGAGTTTTGTGCGCGTTCTGGAAAGTGAGAGAGTAAGCTACTACGGAGTCCCTTAAAGCAAAACAAATCTGCGGAGTCTAGAAATGTTTTTAAATCGCGATTTTTCGGTTCAGCCATTTCACAAACCGTAGGAAAGTAAAAATGCAAATTAATCGTTAAAACCGAAAAAATCGCCCAGCCCTAGCTCCATATTGTTAATAATTGTTATTACAGCAATAATGTGCATGTTGACGGCATGCCGTCTGAAATGAGTTAAGCGTCACGGCGACAGTTGTATATTAATGTAAGTTAACCAGCCAAGTTGTGTTTCACGGTAGCATCGTGCATGCTTAGCAGAGAAGGCTATTGTTTGCTAGCTAAGTACTAACAAGAACAGTGCGCGGAAGGCGGCATTCGTTTAAATCAACCTTTGAAATTGGTCGTCCTCTATATAAGGTGTGTTTGTCCAATGTTATTTTCCACACAGTATCCAATGGTGATGCACACTGCAAAAATCAGTAGCCGTTTATTAAATGGCATGTCAGTTCAAGTAATATGACGAACTCTGACCCGGTTGAGTAGTATTGAGTACAGTAACGGTTTGCGGGGGACACATTCAAATGATGCACAAGGCTAACTAAGTTGAAGCTAGCTTGTAGCATCTCTCTTACGGCCCGTCTACACTACAGGCGTCGAAAAAGCTTGAAGCTGGGCGTGTCTGAGGCTTGACGATATTTTGCGAGCAACGCGACCAACAACCAATCACATGAATCTCCCGCCCCCGACATACAAAGCAATAGCAATGTTAAAACGAAGTAAACTTGATATAAAATCTCCAAACAGGCGAAAACCTACCAGTTTCACCCACTGTCTCTGCCACCTCCCTCCATGCCTCGCTCCTCCGGTTTGTATCCCGGTAGATGAACAGAGACTGATCATACAGCACTGGGTGATTCACTACCGCTATAATGAATTTTCCCTCCATTTTTTGGAATATGAGGAAATGACCTGCGTAGTCTCTCCCAGCATACACGCGGTTTGATTGGCTAGCGCTTGTACTGGCAGATTTGCATAAACGGGATTTCATTGGCTGACGCCAGCTTCGAGCAAGCATCGAGCCTCAAAAGTTGAACATTGTTCAACTTTTGACGCCGATAGACGCTCGCGATGCTTGCAACGCCTTGCCATGCTACCCACAATGCAGTTCGGCGAAGTTTGAAAATATCCTACGTCACCCCATTCAAATGAATGGGCGAAGCGTTGAAAGCATTTTTTGACGCCTGTAGTGTAGACGGGCCGTTAGTTTATCTAACGTCGGCCGTCAGTTTCCTCGTGTGTCTGTGTTCATATGAGCGTGCATGAAACGATAAATACTGAGACAACTATCTTGCGACTATCTCTTAGTGAAAAATAACCATCGTATATTCTGCCAAGCCACAGTAATAATGATTTATGATTCATTTGTCTTTTTTGAGGTATAGCTGCAGCAATAGCCTATAGACTTATGTTTACATTAAGCTTACTGTATATTATCGTGAGGACTGGATAGATTACCACGGAGCAGAGCCAAAGCTCATTGTTATATATTTTAGGATTTTTCTACTTAAAAATGTTTAATTGTGTTATTTTGTTGGTTATGTTCAGTGTAAGAAATGTGAATATAAGTGTAACATCCTCAGAGACGGCATCTAAGTCCTATACATTTTAAATCCTGCAGACAATTCGTAGTGGAGTGGAGGTGGTGACCCTCAGCCCACGTGTCAGTGTCTTCAAGGAGAGATGGCCTGGTTTATTCAATGAGGCTAAGGTGAGAACATTAGGTTTATTATTTTTCCATTTCAACTCACACTGTTGTCAGAGTTGTGAGTAATGAGTGTTGTCCCCTATGCTCTTTATTATATCAAGGAGGAGTTCCGACACATAACAACTCTTTCACTGGAAGAGACTTTGATGCTGAAACTGGATGGGTACACTAACACCACTCGCTCCAGCTGATGCGTGCCAAAGGAGGAGATGCTGGCTCCAGGATGCGCCCTCTTCTGAGCACAATTGATGAGGTACATTTATTTAAATGTTTCATTCAAGAATATGAAAATGCAGAAATAAGTCTTCTCACTAAAATGCATTTCCTCACAGGCCCAGAGTGTTGGAAAAAAGGGATGCAGTGGCCAGGTGCCTGATTGAAGACCTTGGGGGACGCCAAGAAGACCTTTTTCAAGAAAGCCAGGTATGTCATTAAAGACTGATCACTTCAAGATTTTAACGGAGTTATTTCGGAGGTTGCTCTGATACCATTGTTTAATTTCTGTGATTAACCACTCTGACACATAACAAATAAATATGCAATTTATTGCTGTAAATCTCTAAACATCTTATTGTTTTTATAAATGGTTTAGCATTCACAGGAACATGATTTATGGATAATTTACTGATGTGCTTAGCTACTTAACATATACAACTACCTAAAAACAAAAACCTTATTTTGGTGTTAAAGTGAAATAAGATAAATAAAATCATGCACTGAAAAGTTATGTTTATGGGAAAGAATCAATGTAATGTCATTGATTAGATCGATGGGCAATTTGACTGGGCCTGACATTTTTTATATAAGTTAGAAATCTTGTTTTGTTTTTAATCGCTGCCACACATTTTTACAAATCATTTTTTAAAAAAAAAGTCAATACCTGGTTTTATTGATTAGGCTTAATGCTAGACCACAAAGCCTATATTGTATAATAGCTTCTTGTTAATATGCCTAATTTAAAGTGAATATGCTTTTCTTTCTTTCTTTTCAACATGGAGGACGAGCCTGACAACGTCGTGGACCAAACTATGAAGGTGCTTGTGATCCATGATGCCATGGGACCAGCAGATGTGTCCATTGTCATAGAGGGAGACAGAGTTTTGAATTTGTGCAGAAACCAAACAAAGGCATGCGCATTGTTGATGGGATTCATCTACGCCCTCAACCTGGAATACCCCCAACAAGCTCAAATACACATTTGAGGTATTCTAAAAACAGTTTTTGGAGCTTGATGGAGCCAAGCTGCTCAAACAGGTCCAGAGCCGCAAATAAACAATTTGTTCTGAAGTGGATGTTGACTTGTTTTAGTGCCGAGTGACACAAACACAACATAATGAGATGTGGAATGTAATGGATGTGGAGAAACCTTGTTCTGTTAAAAGTGGACTGTTTATTACTGGCACGTAAAGGTTTTAATAGTTGAGTAAATTGCACTTGGAAGATTATGTTAAAAAAAAAAATTACAATTTCCATGCACTTTACTGTTAAAACAATGTGATTGTATGACTATTTTGAAGATTCTGCTCGGTGTTAACAATTGAAATGCACTTAACTGTTTAAATAATCTCAATGTATGGCCATATTGCACTTATACATTTGGTCAATAAAAAAAACATGATCAATAAAATCTTGTGTGGCAATATATTGTTTACTGGTAACCTTACTAATAAAGTAATATTAATGTGTAATATGGATCAATTATTAAGTAAATAGCTGCCTACGATTAGGAGTAAATATTACTCATTTATAAGTAATACGTTTTAAGTAATTGAGTTAGATTTTACTTAATTTCTTAAAGTAAGTCTTATATATTAAATATTAGTAACCTTTACCCAGCTGCCTATGATTGAGAGTAAATATTACTCATTTATATATAATATGTTTTAAGTAATTGAGTTAGATTTTACTTAATTTCTTAAAGTAAATCTTATATATTAAATATTAGTAACCTTTACCCAAAAACATTGGGTAAAATCTACTCAAAAGAAGTGTGTGCAAATTGTTACCCCCATTTTATTGAGTAGATCTTATAGGTTGGTTTTTACAGTGTACTCCACCTCGTACAAACTGTCCACTGGGTCCATTCTTGGTTGGTTGGTTCTGTTACGGTAGAGTGAAGCAGGCAGGACCCAAATGCAGAATAAACTGATAACACCTTTATTTCAAGGATATGAATAAAACTCGGACAAAACAGAACACTCCCCGGTGAACTCAGTCACCAACAAAAGACGAACCAACACTGAACACAGGAAGAGCCAAGACTAAATACAGGGAGGGGTAATCACAAGACGAGAAACAGCCGGGCAGGGGAGGAGAAACACAAGGGCCACAGGTGAACACAATCAGACAACTACACACCAGGGAAACTAACGACAGGAGGAAAAACACAGGGAAAAGGACTAGACAATATACACGGAGGAAAACACGACAGGGAGAACAGCAAAACACCCAAAACAAGACATACAAAACGTGACATAACACAATAATAGTAACAAGAGCTCGAGAGGAGCATTTCAGCTGAAGAGCCACATAATTCTGCATTGAAGGGAATCATTGAACAAAATAGCAACTCCACCTCCTTTCTTATGCATTCTTTCCTGACTCATAAAACTAAAGTTGGGAGGGGTTGATTCGATAAGAAGAGCTGAGCTGTTGTTTTGTTCACTCCTAGTTTCCGTTAAAAACATAAAATCGAGATTGTGCTCAGTGATAAAATCATTGATTAAAATGTGTTTTCCTGCCAAAGACCTGACATTTAATAAAGCTAGTTTAAGTTTGTACACACTATTAGTCAGATTGTTTGTGACAAGCTGTGGCTGGTGTTAGGGAAATAATTGTCTTAGACTCCTAGATATGAAGTGCATGACCAACCCTGACGTCTGTTATCTCCTTTAAGGAGATAGGCTGCTTCAGCCATAATGTTGTTGTTCCCTTTCTATGACCGGGCAACCCTAGGTCACAGATGGTTTATTGTTGTGGGTACACTGGGACACTTCCTTCTCTGTGTTTGTGGACTCCAAGGTGTGAAATCTTCGAGGCCATAAGTGTCAGACGCAAGTAACTCAGTGTTCCCAACTGTTTAGGCTATCTTCTCAAATATGTTGATTACTCTCTGCGAAACCAGTTAAATGGGCTAACGAGAGAGAGGCGCTCCAGAATTGACGTGGCAACTCTACCGTGAAGTCAGAACCTCTGGCTCTTGGACTTGTGATATGAATTCCCCGGCCGAAGCTCCAAATAAACCATCAGTGTTTGACATCCCCGGAACCTGCGGTCCTCAGACTCTGGCCTGCTTACCACCCCCCGCACCAAACTGCGAACCTACGGGGACAGAGCCTTCAGTGTGGCAGCCCCCACCCTCTGGAACGCTCTCCCTGCGGAGATACGCAACATCCCCACACTTGAAGCCTTCAAAAGGGCCCTCAAGTCCCATCTGTTTGCCAAGGCTTTCGGCCCCTAAATCGATCTGTTGTTCTGTTTGTCTGTCTTTTGTTTTGTTATGTTTGTCTTTGCACTATTACTTGTGAAGCGACCTTGGGTCCCCTGAAAGGCGCTATAGAAATCGAAGCTATTATTATTATTATTATCAAAGCTCCTGCTCTTCCCGTGTCTCTTTCCTGAGTCGGTGACTCCCACTTCATTGCTACACAGAAGTTTCCCTTACAGCTGGCATGGAATCACTGCTAAATTTGATAAATTCACACAAACTTTTGAGCCAGGGGCGTCGCCTGAGGTAGGCATCCGGGGCTTTAGCCCCGGATGTTTTTTCTTTAGCCCCGGACAAATTCTCCCTCAATAATATAATACATTAACCTACTTTACCTATAGGACGGACGGTAGAACTGTAATTTCCCATGTTCAGTGAATGCAACACAGAGGCAAGACGACGCCACCAGACCAATCAGAGAGTTGCATGGAAATAATCGTGTTTTATTGGCTGACAGGTACGTACCTGTGACAATGTTTAAACTTTAAACTGTCAGCCGCGGACGCGGAGATTCTGAAGATGGACATAAGAAAAACATTTCTTAAAAAAGACGGCAATTGTCAAGTGATGGCTCACACAACAACCCCAGAGCCACCACCTGAGCCAGGTGAACAAGGTATGTATCTGTCAGTAAACTTACAAGTTATGCGAACATGTAAGCAAAGCATACATTACAGCTAGCCTACGTTGACATTACTTTGAATCGCGCGGGTAAGCTAAACCGTTAGCAAGTAGCTATAGCTAGCCAGATATATTAAATAAACACTTTGTCATACAATATAAATGTTGTGTTTTTTAGCGTTACCTGGTGATTTCAAAGAAAGCTCTCTGGGAAATGTTGACTTACTGTCAGTGTTCGACATGAAGCTAGAAGCTACCTTACAGTAGTACACAGTTGATCCTGATTCCTGAGTCCTAGGCAAGGGACACTATGCTCCCAAATATTAAGCCTTGACCCGCATCTTAAAATTGATATGATCAAAAAATTATCTGCATTGTCGGAGGCCTGTTTCCCTCATTATCATGTCAAACTGTACAGCTTTCCTTAGTGTTGAATGCAGAAAGATGACTATATTAGAGTATTAAGTGAAAATGACTATATCAAAGTTGTAAGTAAATATATTAAGTGAATTACTCAAACTGCATTTGTATAGGAATGATTCTGTCCTATTGGCAGATAACTACTCTTAACAGTGATATCTACAAGAGGTTTCCAATGTAAATGTAATGTTCAATTGGTTAGTATTACATTTTGTGACAGTGTGGTGACACTCATTTTAATGAAGACACATTTGTGTATCTTGAAATTCATTTATTTGACAGAGCTGGAAACTGATTGACTTAAAATACTTGTTTGTCTTTACCTACACAGTCATCACAGATGAGCCAAACAGAGTAGAGGATGAAGAAAGGAGAACAGGAGAAAGGGACACACAAGAAGGAGAAACAACAGATAAGAACAACAATGAACAGGAACACCAGAACAGACAAGAGGCAATGGGTAACTGGGGAACTGATTTAGGGACTGCAGATACAGGGCCAAGGCAAGTGAGACATCACTGCTTTCCATCCGGCATGTTTGGCCAGCAAAAGAGATAATTTCAACCAAGTTGGTTTGATACTTTTAAATGGCTCGAATATTCTACAACTGCCAATGCAGCATTCTGCTTTAGTTGTAGATTATATGGCAATCAAGGGATCAAAGGGACACCCTCACCACCTCAGGATACACCAACTGGAATCGTTCATTGGATTCTTTTCGAGAACATGAAAAGTCAAACATACACAAGGCCTCAATTATTCTCTAGAAGAGCTTTAAAGCCACCCAGGTCCACGGGGACATCACACAGCAGCTACAT